CAAGAAATACATACCATGTTTGTCCTATATCAAGAAATACATACCATGTTTGTCCTATATCAAGAAATACATACCACGTTTGTCCTATATCAAGAAATACATACCACGTTTGTCCTATATCAAGAAATACATACCACGTTTGTCCTATATCAAGTAATACATACCACGTTTGGCTTGGCATGATGCTGGAAATGCAAGTGATTCCACCAATGTGGTGATGCACCCTAAAAAAATGAATATACAATATAATTCTTTACTACAGTTATCCCTATCATTAGTGTAGGTGCTTATTGAAATGATATAAAGTGGCCCATTAAAAACCTCCATTCTGATCAGGCCTACAATTTGTACAATATGTATCCACACAACCTGAAAGTGTTTCCAACCCAATTTGACTAATTTCTAATTTTCCTATATAGTTTCAGTGGAGAAGTCTTTTAAAACAATACTGCTCAATTAAACCTTCAACTGCCCTAAGAATGCTTCCAACCAAATACAGTTGAAAACAATCTCATAATTCTAGAACATAGAGAAACTATTTAAAGCGTTATTTGTCTTGACCCTTAGACCCCTGAGGGGTCAGCCCTCTATTTGTACAATTTTTAATCCACACAACCTAAGGATGCTTCCTTAAATTTGGTAAAAAAAACAATGAGCAGATCAGAAGAAGTTGATGACGGATGGACAGACCAACAGTGGTATAAGCTCACTTTGGCGCTTCAGGCCTTACATGCTCCCCGAAAAAAGCCAGTCTCTTTTCTTTTACAAATCAGATTCTTTAATACAAAGAAAAACTTCCTACAATTGGTTGAATTCTGTCGAGTGGTTGTTGAGAACTTTGATTGTTAACACCTTATAATCTTCTCTATTTGTTGGTCCAGTAAAAGTTATTTCTTTTGTAAATATACTTGAACAAAAAGTGTGTAGTTGTCTTTGAGAAAGATGGGAGGATATGAATTTCATCCCCTACTTGTTGCTCTTTAATATTCTGACTACCTGTATAATGATATTTTGTCCCTTACCTGTTACTCTATAATATTCTGACTATCTGTATAATGATATTTTGTCCCTTACTTGTTGCTCTATAATATTCTGTCTACCTGTATAATGATATTTTGTCACTTACCTATTGCCCTATAATATTCTGACTATCTCTATAATGATATTTTGTCCCTTACCTGTTGCCCTATAATATTCTGACTACAATGTACCTGTATAATGTTATTTTGTCCCTTACCTATTGCCCTATAATATTCTGACTATCTGTATAATGATATTTTGTCCCTTACCTGTTGCCCTATAATATTCTGACTATCTGTATAATGATATTTTGTCCCTTACTTGTTGCTCTATAATATTCTGACTATATGTATAATGATATTTTGTCCCTTACCTGTTGCCCTATAATATTCTGACTACCTGTATAATGATATTTTGTCCCTTACTTGTTGCTCTATAATATTCTGACTATATGTATAATGATATTTTGTCCCTTACCTGTTGCCCTATAATATTCTGACTATCTGTATAATGATATTTTGTCCCTTACTTGTTGCTCTATAATATTCTGACTATATGTATAATGATATTTTGTCCCTTACCTGTTGCCCTATAATATTCTGACTACCTGTATAATGATATTTTGTCCCTTACTTGTTGCTCTATAATATTCTGACTATATGTATAATGATATTTTGTCCCTTACCTGTTGCCCTATAATATTCTGACTACCTGTATAATGATATTTTGTCCCTTACTTGTTGCTCTATAATATTCTGACTATATGTATAATGATATTTTGTCCCTTACCTGTTGCCCTATAATATTCTGACTACCTGTATAATGATATTTTGTCCCTTACTTGTTGCTCTATAATATTCTGACTACCTGTATAATGATATTTTGTCCCTTACTTGTTGCTCTATAATATTCTGACTATATGTATAATGATATTTTGTCCCTTACCTGTTGCCCTATAATATTCTGACTATCTCTATAATGATATTTTGTCCCTTACTTGTTGCTCTATAATATTCTGACTATATGTATAATGATATTTTGTGACCTTACCTGTTGCACTATAATATTCTGACTACCTGTATAATGATATTTTGTCCCTTACTTGTTGCTCTATAATATTCTAACTACTTGTTTAAGATATAGGTTAAGTGATATTTTTTATTTATTTTTTATAATAAAATAACCATGTTCCTGTATATAGTACTGACCTTGACCATGCCCATGAGGAAATACTGAACAATATGATCTAGAGTGGAATTCTTTAGTACTGAGAGGTGGCCAAAGTCATGTTGTATCCATCCAGTCTGTGCCTGAAATAGCCAGGTAAAGGAAAAGGTGAGAAGAGAACAAGACATAGAAGTTAACATTAAGTTTCACATGAAATTTTCATGTATAACGTGTTATTCAGTGAAAGCAACAATTTTGTAATTTGTGTAACCTTATTTTAATTTTATTATTTGGATCACTATCATCTACGTAATCCCATCCCCCCCCCTCCACACACAAACACACACACACATGTCTGAAAGTAAGAGGCTCAATGGGCCTGTGTCAATCACTTGTTATCCCCTCCACACACAAACACACACACACATGTCTGAAAGCAAGAGGCTCAATGGGCCTGTGTCAATCACTTGTTATCAACCAGACATCTGTGACTTTCAAAGAGGTCAAGGTCAAGTTTATTTACATTATTTCTAAGTATCATTAATCTACACATTACCAATCTCTCCAACTTAACACTTTACATTATTAAGCTACAGTCCAAACATCATGGCCCAAGGTCTTTTGGTTATTTTGAACTTGTTTTAATTTTTTAACAAATTTGACTACGTGACCTTGAAAATGATCATGGTCATTCAATGGAAAAGATATTATAGTCCTAATTCCTACCAGCATGCTAACAGTTAAAATATCATCACCCTAGGCCTGTTGATTATTTAGAAGAAGTCATTTAAAATAATAAGAAGCCCATAAGCCTTAATCACCTGTGTTACCTATGTTGAATTTATTGTTGTGTGACGTGACAAAGATGACACGTAAACCATATAAACTAGAGTTATACTACAGTAAAGTCCAGCTTCCATCCTGGAAGCAAATGTGCATTCTTCTCTTTATACTCAGCAATTGTATATGTGGTTATATGGTGGGGATCTCAACCATTTCCAAGCAATAAACTTTTTTTGGCCCCACCCCTTAGCCCGAGGGGTCAGCCCCACCGTTTGTACAATTTTGAATCCCAGCCTCCCATGAATGCTTCCGACCAAATATGATCGATATCCATGGCATAGTTCTACAGAAGAAGTTGTTTGTAGCAATATAGCCAAATCGCCCCCCTTTTGCCCCGCCCCTCAGCCCCCTGGGGAGTCAGCTCCATCATTTGTACAATTTTGAATTCCCACCACCTAGGGATGCTTCCAGTCAAATATGGTATATATCCACTTCTTAGTGTCAGAGAAGAAGTCGCTTAAAGCAATATAGCCAAATTGACCCCTTTTTGCCCCGCCCCTCAGCCCCCTGGGGGGTCAGCCCCATCATTTGAACAATTTTGAATCCCCACCACCTAGGGATGCTTCTAGTCAAATATGGTTGATATCCATGGCATAGTTCTACAGGAAAATTGTTTGTAGCAATATAGCCAAATTGCCCCCTTTTTGCCCCGCCCCTCAGCCCCCTGGGGGGTCAGCCCCATCATTTGAACAATTTTGAATCCCCACCACCTAGGGATGCTTCTAGTCAAATATGGTTGATATCCATGGCATAGTTCTACAGGAAAATTGTTTGTAGCAATATAGCCAAATTGCCCCCTTTTTGCCCCGCCCCTCAGCCCCCTGGGGGGTCAGCCCCATCATTTGTACAATTTTGAATTCCCACCACCTAGGGATGCTTCCAGTCAAATATGGTTGATATCCACTTCTTAGTGTCAGAGAAGAAGTCGCTTAAAGCAATATAGCCAAATTGACCCCTTTTTGCCCCGCCTCTCAGCCCCCTGGGGGGTCAGCTCCATCATTTGTACAATTTTGAATCCCTGACACCTAGGGATGCTTCCAATTAAATATGGTTGACATCGACTTCTTATTTCCAGAGAAGAAGTCGCTTAAAGCAATATAGCCAAATTGACTCCTTTTGGCCCCGCCCCTCAGCCCCCTGGGGGGTCAGCCCAACCATTTGTACAATTTTGAATCCCCACCACCTAGGGATGCTTCCAGTCAAATATGGTTGATATCCATGGCATAGTTCTACAGAAGAAGTCGTTTGTAGCAATATAGCCAAATTGCCCCCTTTTTGCCCCGCCCCTCAGCCCCCTGGGGGGTCAGCCCCATCATTTGTACAATTTTGAATCCCCACCACCTAGGGATGCTTCCAGTCAAATATGGTTGATATCCATGGCATAGTTCTACAGAAGAAGTCGTTTGTAGCAATATAGCCAAATTGCCCCCTTTTTGCCCCGCCCCTCAGCCCCCTGGGGGGTCAGCCCCATCATTTGTACAATTTTGAATCCCCACCACCTAGGGATGCTTCCAGTCAAATATGGTTGATATCCATGGCATAGTTCTACAGAAGAAGTCGTTTGTAGCAATATAGCCAAATTGCCCCCTTTTTGCCCCGCCCCTCAGCCCCCTGGGGGGTCAGCCCCATCATTTGTACAATTTTGAATCCCCACCACCTAGGGATGCTTCCAGTCAAATATGGTTGATATCCATGGCATAGTTCTACAGAAGAAGTCGTTTGTAGCAATATAGCCAAATTGCCCCCTTTTTGCCCCGCCCCTCAGCCCCCTGGGGGGTCAGCCCCATCATTTGTACAATTTTGAATCCCCACCACCTAGGGATGCTTCCAGTCAAATATGGTTGATATCCATGGCATAGTTCTACAGAAGAAGTCGTTTGTAGCAATATAGCCAAATTGCCCCCTTTTTGCCCCGCCCCTCAGCCCCCTGGGGGGTCAGCCCCATCATTTGTACAATTTTGAATCCCCACCACCTAGGGATGCTTCCAGTCAAATATGGTTGATATCCATGGCATAGTTCTACAGAAGAAGTCGTTTGTAGCAATATAGCCAAATTGCCCCCTTTTTGCCCCGCCCCTCAGCCCCCTGGGGGGTCAGCCCCATCATTTGTACAATTTTGAATCCCCACCACCTAGGGATGCTTCCAGTCAAATATGGTTGATATCCATGGCATAGTTCTACAGAAGAAGTCGTTTGTAGCAATATAGCCAAATTGCCCCCTTTTTGCCCCGCCCCTCAGCCCCCTGGGGGGTCAGCCCCATCATTTGTACAATTTTGAATCCCCACCACCTAGGGATGCTTCCAGTCAAATATGGTTGATATCCATGGCATAGTTCTACAGAAGAAGTCGTTTGTAGCAATATAGCCAAATTGCCCCCTTTTTGCCCCGCCCCTCAGCCCCCTGGGGGGTCAGCCCCATCATTTGAACAATTTTGAATCCCCACCACCTAGGGATACTTCCAGTCAAATATGGTTGATATCCACTTCTTAGTTCCAGAGAAGAAGTCGCTTAAAGCAATATAGCCAAATTGACCCCTTTTGGCCCCGCCCCTCAGCCCTCTTGAGGGTCATGATCAGCCCCACCATTTGTACAATTTTGAATCCCCACCACCTAGGGATGCTTCCAGTAAAATTTAGTTGAATTCCAATCAGTGGTTAAGAAGAAGAAGTCGTTTAAAGAAATTGTTGACGGACGGACGGACGGACGGGCCGCGGACGGATGGACGACGGACGCCAAGGTATGGCATAAGCTCACCTTGGTCCTTCGGACCAGGTGAGCTAATAACCAAATAACCCTTTTTGGCCCCGCCCCTCAGTCCCCTGGGAGTTCAGCCCCACCATTTGTACAATTTTGAATCCCTGCATCCCATGAATGCTTTTGATTAAATATGATTGATATTCAGTGCATAGTTCTACAGAAGAAGTCGTTTGTAGAAATATAGCCAATTACCCCTTTTTGGCTGCCCCCTTAGCCCCCTGGGGGGTCAGCCCAACCATTTGTACAATTTTGAATCTCCACCACCTAGGGATGCTTTCAGTTAAATATGGTTGATATCCATCTCTTAGTTCCAGAGAAGAAGTCGCTTAAAGCAATATAGCCAAATTGCCCCCTTTTTTGCCCAGCCCCTCAGCCCCCTGGGGGGTCAGCCCCACCATCTGTACAATTTTGAATCCCCACCACCTAGGGATGCTTCCAGTCAAATTGAGTGAAATTCCAATCAGTGGTTAAGGAGAAGAAGTCGTTTAAAGAAATTGTTGATGGACGGACGACGGACGGACAATGGACGCCACGGTATGGCATAAGCTCACCTTGGTCCTTCGGACCCGGTGAGCTAAAAAATTATTACAAACATTACGAACATGCATAGAGCAAGCTTCTCTCTCAAGACACCAACGATCTTTAAAACTCCCCGACAATAAGTGCCACTTCATTCCTTGCAGCCTTAAAAACATCACAAAGCTGGTTAAACACCATCATACAATCTTCATTAGTTCTATGTAGGTTTAGTATTCTTCTCTTCTTCATTCTGTTGGACTAAGTCATGCCATAAAAACTCATGTGGTAACTTTTCCTCTAACTCTGCTGTGTTTTAATATTGTCCTTTCAAAGTTAAGTTATTGTTTGACCTAGGAAATAGACCATGGGAGAATTCTTGTTTCTGGCAGTAATTTCTTTCTTCTGGTCAGGTAGCTTGAACGCAACACTTGCAGTGTACAGGAAGAACCTACTTATGATATCTAAGAAAGATCTGTAATTTACTTTCAGAGAAACAGTGATAACAGCCAAATGAAAAATGTCTGCTTGATGATCAAGCTGAAAATAAAACATGAACAAGGGGATCTACATAAAGGAGTTAGAAGAAGATCTGTCTGGTACTTCCAGAGAAACAGCAATATCTTGAAGCCCTGTAAAATGCCAAGATGTCTGGCCGCCTGGCAACTCCCAACTCTTCTGAACATTCTCAGAATCAAAGAACCCATGGCACTGGCGGATTGGCAGCATCAAAATGTGTGTGCTCTTTTTCTACAGGCTTTATCTTGAATGAGCTGACTTCACAATCATATGGAATAAAAAATAAAAAAACTGAGCCTATCTCACTCCTGTTGTAAAAGCAACACTGTTTTTTATAATATTCTACCTTATGACTGTACATGTAACACTAGAGTCCTAATAGTCCTGCATCACTCACCTTATATTAATCTCACATTGGTAACCTTAAAATCGGACTAAAATAAAGCTATTGGCAAAAAATCAGTATCTATATGACTCTAAGACATTCAAACGATTTTAACACACTTGATCCCTGTGACCTTGAAAGTCTAATATGCTCAATACTAGGAGATTCCTGGTCATATCGGGAGACACAACATGTATTCCCCCGTGACCTTGAATACAAGTAAAGGTCATGTCAGCACACAACCAGACATGATGATGTTTTGTGGAGATATTTACCTGTACTGTGGCCGCACACATTAGGGAAACAAGGTAGGGCACCCAACCAGTGCCAAAGTAGGCCATCACCAGGTAGGCCAAGGCATCAAGCACTAGGACATGGGCTATGACCATCAGGAAGAATATGTAACTTGGCTTGAAGAGTCCCTGTCAACATTCAAAAATAAAGAGCTGCCTAAAATATCTCAAAGAAATCAGCGGAAGACATTCTATGTTTAATTGTACCCACTCAGGGTTTCCCCAATTATAACCATGACTAATGGAAAGCATCCCCTTTTTAATACAAATTCATGTTCATTTTTCAATACCTGTAGTATGTGATCATATTCAATTATCAATTCTATGTTTATAATTAAACCAGATTTTATAACAAGTGGAAACAAGTTGTTGTTTTTTTAACCCAGTAGCACTGACAGTGTTATGCTCGTGTATCTACTTAATAATATCATATACAGTAAACCAATGACTTACTGACAGCCTCCTATATACAACGTCCAGTAATACCACTGGTGCTTACCCTGGGCCTGTATACCAGCCAATACAATAAGTAATACCACTGGTGCTTACCCTGTATACCAGTCAATACAGTAAGTAATAGGACTGGTGCTTACCCTGGGCCTGTATACCAGCCAATACAATAAGTAATACGACTGGTGATTACCCTGTATACCAGTCAATACAGTAAGTAATACGACTGGTGCTTACCCTGTATACCAGCCAATACAATAAGTAATATGACTGGTGCTTACCCTGGGCCTGTATACCAGCCAATACAATAAGTAATACCACTGGTGCTTACCCTGTATACCAGTCAATAGAGTAAGTAATAGGACTGGTGCTTACCCTGGGCCTGTATACCAGTCAATACAGTAAGTAATAGGACTGGTGCTTACCCTGTATACCAGCCAATACAATAAGTCATACCACTGGTGCTTACCCTGTATACCAGCAAATACAATAAGTAATATGACTGGTGCTTACCCTGTATACCAGGCAATACAGTAAAAAATATGACTGGTGCTTACCCTGGGCCTGTATACAAGTCAATACAATAAGTAATACCACTGGTGCTTACCCTGTATACCAGTCAATAGAGTAAGTAATAGGACTGGTGCTTACCCTGGGACTGTATACCAGTCAATACAGTAAGTAATAGGCCTGGTGCTTACCCTGTATACCAGCCAATACAATAAGTACTACCACTGGTGCTTACCCTGTATACCAGCCAATACAATAAGTAATATGATGGTGCTTACCCTGTATACCAGTCAATACAGTAAAAATTATGACTGGTGCTTACCCTCGGCCTGTATACCAGCCAATACAATAAGTAATGCCACTGGTGCTTACCCTGGGCCTGTATACCAGTCAATAAATAAGTAATGCCACTGATGCTTACCCTGTTAACCAGTCAATACAGTAAGTAATAGGACTGGTGCTTACCCTGGGCCTGTATACCAGCCAATACAATAAGTAATGCCACTGATGCTTACTCTGGGCATGTATACCAGTCAATACAATAAGTAATACCACTGGCGCTTACCCTGTATACCAGTCAATAGATTAAGTAATAGGACTGGTGCTTACCCTGGGCCTGTATACCAGTCAATACAGTAAGTAATAGGACTGGTGCTTACCCTTGGCCTGTATACCAGTCAATAAATAAGTAATGCCACTGATGCTTACCCTGTATACCAGTCAATACAGTAAGTAATAGGACTGATGCTTACCCTGTATCCCAGCCAATACAATAAGTAATGCCACTGATGCTTACTCTGGGCATGTATACCAGTCAATACAGTAAAAAATATGACTGGTGCTTACCCTGTATACCAGTCAATACAGTAAGTAATAGGCCTGATGCTTACCCTGTATACCAGCCAATACAATAAGTAATACAACTAGTGCTTACCCTGGGCCTTTATCCCAGCCAATACAATAAGTAATACCACTGGTCCTTACCATGTATACGTGCCAATACAATAAGTAATATGACTGCTGTTTACCCTGTATACCAGTCAATACAGTAAGTAATAGGACTGGTCCTTACCCTGGGCTTGTATTCCAGCCAATACAATAAGTAATACGACTGGTGCTTACCCTGTATCCCAGCCAATACAATAAGTAATGCCACTGATGCTTACCTTGTATACCAGCCAATACAATAAGTAATGTATAACAGCCAATACAATAAGTAATACAACTGGTGATTACCCTGTATACCAGTCAATACAGTAAGTAATAAGACTGGTGCTTACCCTGGGCCTATATACCAGCCAATACAATAAGTAATACGACTGGTGCTTACCCTGGGCCTATATACCAGCCAATACAATAAGTAATACGACTGGTGATTACCCTGTATACCAGCCAATACAGTAAGTAATACGACTGGTGCTTACCCTGGGCCTATATACCAGCCAATACAATAAGTAATACCACTGGTGCTTACCATGTATACGTGCCAATACAATAAGTAATATGACTGCTGCTTACCCTGTATACCAGTCAATACAGTAAAAAATATGACTGGTGCTTACCCTGGGCCTGTATACCAGCTAATACAATAAGTAATACCACTGGTGCTTACCCTGTATACCAGTCAAGAGAGTAAGTAATAGGACTGGTGCTTACCCTGGGCCTGTATACCAGTCAATACAGTAAATAATAGGACTGGTGCTTACCCGGTATACCAGCCAATACAATAATTAATGCCACTGGTGCTTACCCTGGGCCTGTATACCAGTCAATACAATAATGTATGCCACTGGTGCTTACCCTGTATACCAGCCAATACAATAAGTAATGCCACTGATGCTTACTCTGGGCATGTATATCAGTCAATACAGTAGAAAATATGACTGGTGCTTACCATGGGCCTGTATACCAGCCAATACAATAAGTAATATGACTAGTGCTTCCCCTGTATACCAGTCAATACAGTAAGTAATACGACTGGTGCTTCCCCTGTATACCAGCCAATACAATAAGTAATGTCACTGGTGCTTACCCTGGGCCTGTATACCAGCTAATACAATAAGTAATACCACTGGTGCTTACCCTGGGCCTGTATACCAGCCAATTCAATAAGTAATATGACTGGTGCTTACCCTGTATACCAGTCAATACAATAAGTAATATGACTAGTGCTTACCCTGTATACCAGTCAATACAGTAAGTAATACGACTGGTGCTTACCCTGTATACCAGCCAATACAATAAGTAATATGACTAGTGCTTCCCCTGTATACCAGTCAATATAATAAGTAATATGACTGGTGCTTCCCTTGTATACCAGCCAATACAATAAGTAATACGACTGGTGCTTACCCTGTATACCATCCAATACTTATATTTATCAATGGTACAGTATCACTGGGGTTACGTAGGTGCATAAATAAGTAATGCCACTGATGCTTACTCTGGGCATGTATACCAGTCAATACAGTAAGTAATACGACTGGTGCTTACTCTGTATACCATCCAACACTTATATTTATCAATGGTACAGTATCACTGGGATTACGTAGGTGCTAGAGTACCTGCGTATGTAGGGGTAAGGCGTGGAGTCTAACGTACACGGTGAATTACGTGTTGCACGTGAATTACCTGGGGGAGGGGGTTGTCATATACAGGGTGTATAGGGGGTAGTGTCATTCGAGCTGTTGCAGCCAGACAGTGCGCTTGTGGTATTAAACCCCCCCCCCCCCCCGGTCAACTTGGTAGCGAGCAATAGAGAGTTAATTTGCTTTGATGTTACTTGCCATTTGGTGTATGTTTTCAGGTTTATAGGCTTTGGCATATTACAGAGCTGCTAGGACAGATCCTTGGGATTGGGGCTTGGAGCTAGAGGAACAGTCGCTCAGGAACAGCCGTGCACCGTCGCGTGTTGTTGCCGTGTTTTTGTAGTTACCACAATAAAAGCGCTAGCTGCAGTGAGCTATTTCCTATATTACAGTATTGAGTTGTAATTGATAAATGATTTATGTTCGTTTGAACTGGTGAATTAGAACATAAAATAAGTAATATGACTGGTGCTTACCCTGTATACCAGGTGGTTCAAGTTTTGGCTGAATCAAGAAATACTAACCATATTCAGTGTACAGTATTATATTCTGTTAATAGGTCTGACTGACATCTCTGATATTCAGTGTACAGTATTATATTCTGTTAAGTGATCTGTCTGATATTCAGTGTACAGTATTATATTCTGTTAAGTGATCTGATTGACATGTCTGATAATCAGTGTACAGTATTATATTCTGTTAAGTGATCTGTCTGACATGTCTGATATTCAGTGTACAGTATTATATTCGTTAAGTGATCTGTCTGAGGGGTGCCTATTACAATAATATGGTAAAACTGTTTTCAATCTCAATCTTTTGCTGATTCTGTACTAATCCCACTTTTTTGTCTTGGTTATGAAATATCAGAATTTTTCAATGTTTTTAAGTTTTTTTCAATGTCTTGACTTAAATTTTGACTGCGTCTTATGATTCTATCTGCTCTTATTCAGTTTAATTCATGTTTGAACATAAAGATTTGGTTTCATGAAATACAGCTTCTGGATTTCATTGCATCATGTTAATAGCTTACCTGGGTGACTATCATCTTTTTAATGGTTCATGTATGTTACAAACAGGAAACATTACAAACATAATGATAGTGTTAACATGTTACAAACAGGAAACATTACAAACATAATGATAGTGTTAACATGTTACAAACAGGAAACATTACAAACATAATGATAGTGTTAACATGTTACAAACAGGAAACATTACAAACATAATGATAGTGTTAACATGTTACAAACAGGAAACATTACAAACATAATGATAGTGTTAACATGTTACAAACAGGAAACATTACAAACATAATGATAGTGTTAACATGTTACAAACAGGAAACATTACAAACATAATGATAGTGTTAACATGTTACAAACAGGAAACATTACAAACATAATGATAGTGTTAACATGTTACAAACAGGAAACATTACAAACATAATGATAGTGTTAACATGTTACAAACAGGAAACATTACAAACATAATGATAGTGTTAACATGTTACAAACAGGAAACATTACAAACATAATGATAGTGTTAACATGTTACAAACAGGAAACATTACAAACATAATGATAGTGTTAACATGTTACAAACAGGAAACATTACAAACATAATGATAGTGTTAACATGTTACAAACAGGAAACATTACAAACATAATGATAGTGTTAACATGTTACAAACAGGAAACATTACAAACATAATGATAGTGTTAACATGTTACAAACAGGAAACATTACAAACATAATGATAGTGTTAACATGTTACAAACAGGAAACATTACAAACATAATGATAGTGTTAACATGTTACAAACAGGAAACATTACAAACATAATGATAGTGTTAACATGTTACAAACAGGAAACATTACAAACATAATGATAGTGTTAACATGTTACAAACAGGAAACATTACAAACATAATGATAGTGTTAACATGTTACAAACAGGAAACATTACAAACATAATGATAGTGTTAACATGTTACACACGGAAAACATTGAAAAAGTAAGTAGATTTCACATTCTTATTTCAGTGTTTCCATATGTAACATGGGAACATTATCATATGATTAAATGTTTCCTGTTTGTAACATGTGAAACCTACCTTCTTTTCTGCCGTCTGCCGTAACACCTGGAAGTCCTCATCCAGACTACATTTCTGATGGTCCTCCAAGGGTCCTACATGAATTGGGCTGAGGAACTTCTTGACTGTAGTAAGATCATTGTGAAATGCCCTAAAGGCCTCCTGGAAATACAGAAGTTAACAAGTCATCAAGATACAGATGGTATGAACAAATCATGAATGTGTTTAATCAAAAGTTATAACAAAACATGTCATCTCTAAATCCCAGATATGCCATACCTTGATTGCGACTAGTATCTCAGTGCCTAGTATCTCAGTGCCTAGTATCTCAGCACCCCAATGTGCTGTTTGATTGCGCCTAGTATCTCAGCACCCCAATGTGCTGTTTGATTGTGCCTAGTATCTCAGTGCCTAGTATCTCAGCATCCAAATGTGCTGTTTGATTGCACCTAGTATCTCAACACCCCAATGTGCTGTTTGATTGCGCCTAGTAGCTCAGTGCCTAGTATCTCAGTACCTAGTATCTCAGCACCCCAATGTGCTGTTTGATTGCGCCTAGTATCTCAGCATCCCAATGTGCTGTTTGATTGCGCCTAGTATCTCAGTACCCCAATGTGCTGTTTGATTGCGCCTAGTATCTCAATGCCCTAATGTGGAGTTTGATTGCGCCTAGTATCTCAGCACCCCAATGTGGTGTTTGATTTGTGCCGAAGTATCACAGCGCCCCAATGTGCTGTTTGATTGCGCCTAGTATCTCAATGCCCTAATGTGGTGTTTGATTGCGCCTAGTATCTCAGCACCCCAATGTGGTGTTTGATTTGTGCCTAAGTATCACAGCGCCCCAATGTGCTGTTTGATTGCGCCTAGTATCTCAGTGCCTAGTATCTCAGCACCCCTATGTGCTGTTTGATTGCGCCTAGTATCTCAATGCCCTACTGTGGTGTTTGATTGCGCCTAGTATCTCAGCACCCCAATGTGGCGTTTGATTGCGCCTAGTATCTCAGCATCCCAATGTGGTGTTTGATTTGTGCCTAAGTATCACAGAGCCCCAATATGCTGTTTGATTGCGCCTAGTATCTCAGTACCTAGTATCTCAGCACCCCAATGTGGTGTTTGATTGCGCCTAGTATCTCAGCACCCTAATGTGATGTTTGATTGCGCCTAGTATCTCAGCACCCTAATGTGGTGTTTGATTGCGCCTAGTATCTCAGCACCCCAATGTGCTGTTTGATTGCGCCTAGTATCTCAGCACCCTAATGTGGTGTTTGATTGCGCCTAGTATCTCAGTACCCTAATGTGGTGTTTGATTTGTGCCTAGTATCTCAGCACCTAGTATCTCAGCACCCCAATATGGTGTTTGATTTGCGCCTAAAATCTCAGCACCCCAATGTGGTGTTTGATTGCACCTAGTATCTCAGCAACCCGATGTGGTGTTTGATTGTGTCTAGTATCTCAGTTTGATTTGCGCCTATTATCTCAGCACCCCAATGTGGTGTTTGATTGCCCCTTATATCTCAGGGCCAAAAAGGGTCAAATTGACTAAAGTTTCAAAAATCTTCTTCTCAAGACCCAGATAAGGTAGAATCAAATACTCTTCATATATGGAAGGGTCTTAATGTGCTTTACCAAAATTGTGAATTTCTTGACATTGGGGTCTCACGTTTCCCCCTGGTGAGGGGTAAACTTTACTATAGTTTATATAGGGAAATCACATTTTGGACCAACATTTGTTTAATTTCCATTGAAAGTAATTCAATTTGGGTTAGCATTATCAGTATTAGGTAGCAATTTGATAGTATGCACATATGAGCCCTGACTGACCCCCAGGGGCTGATGGGTGGGGCAAAAAAGGGTCGAATTGACTGAAATTTCAAAAATCTTCTCCTCAAGACCCACATATGGTAGAACCAAATGCTCTTCATAGATGGAAGGGTCTTAAGGTGCTTTACCAAAATTGTGAATTTCATGACCCTGGGGTCTCACGTTT